AAACTATTTCTCTTTTCTGAGAAGGGAAACATACAGTGGTATCTTGAATGTCTTGAAACCCCAGAACAGGTAAGTGGTAGAAAGGGGCTTTGGATCCATACTAATGAGAAGGCCTTCTTTCTCCTCTAGAAAGGTAGTACAGCGTCTCTTCCCAGCCCGAACACCTGTCATTCTGAATATGAGGAGGATCAGAAACACGCTATCTCCAGCCCACCAAGGTACGTTTTCTTCCATTCCAGCTATTGTCACTGGCAGGTAAAGCAGAATCTTCGTAAGATAAAGATGGAAAGCAAGATTCAGAATGTTGAAAAATACAGGGAGACACAAAGGCTGTCAATCATATTCAAATGTTTCACCCTGGATTCCAAAATGCCATTCTCTGTTAGTTCTCTGTGTGCTTCACTAGCTGCTCCTGTGTTCCATCTCTTGTTCTTCCTCCTCTCTTTCCTCACGTCCCACTGTTGGAGTGCTCAGGACCCAGTTCTTTGACTGCACTTTGTCTCTACTGTTACTCTTATCCTGGGGTTCTCACCCAAGTCATGATTTCAACTACTTTCTGCACTGATGGCTCCCAAATTTGATCTCCAGCCAGAAACAGACTCAACATCACTTGGCTGTCTAACAGGTTTCTCAAACTTAACCCATCCCACACTGAACTCTATCACACCCCATGACAAACATATATCCTACCAAAAAAACCTTCACCCCTTCCCATCTCAGTAAATGGGATCTTCATTGTAACAGTTGTTCAAGGCCCAAAAATATGATGTTATCCTTGACCCTACTCTCTCACCTCCCACATGCGCTGGTGAAACCTGTGGATTTCTGCAAATCTAACTGCTGCCATCACCCCTACCAACACAGAGCTCCTAAAACCATTGTAGATAGAAGGACTGGGGGACTCTTTTATTCTGTCTTAGTCTGTTTTGTGCTGCTATGATAGAATACCATAAACTGGGGAATTTATGAAGAAAAGAAATTTATTTCTCACAGTTCTGAGGCTGGGAAGTTCAATATCAGGGTGCTAGCATCTGGCAAGGACCTTCTTGCTGTGTTATCCCATGGCAGAAGGCAGAAGGCAGAAGGGCAAGAGGGTGTGTGTGAGAGAGGTGAAGGAAGGAGGCTGAACTCTACTACTACCCTCAATACTCACACCAATTTACTTCTGGTCACCAAAGTGTGTGAGTTTTCCCCCTACACCAAGCAATTCTCCACTTCTTGATGAGAACAAACTTGGCATCCTACAGTTTAACTCAATTCAGACACTATCTCCTTGGAGATACCATTAGATCCCACAGGTTAAGGGCTCAGTCCCATAAGACTGACCCTACTTCAGACACCAGTTGTAAGTGGTGGGTCCCCAGGTTACCCACAACTTTTGTCCAATGTGGTGACACATGGAAGATTTCCACACCCCCTTTCTCAGTTTCAATAATTTGCTAGAACAGCTTGCAAAACTCAGGGAAACATTTATTTACAATGACCAATTTATTATAAAGGATCCAACTCAAGAATGGCCAGATGGAATTGATGCACAGGGCAAGATATGGGGGAAGAGACATGGAGTTCCCATGCCCTCTCTGGGCACACCACCCTCCAGGTATCTCCATGTGTTCATCAACCCAGAAGCTCTTTGAACCCTGTCCTTTTGGGTTTTTATGGAGGCTTCCTTACACAGGCATGATTGATTAAAGAAACTATGGGCCATTGGTGGTTAACTCAATCTCCAGTCTCTCTCCTCTCCTGGAACTCAAGGGCTGAATATTCCAACCCTCAAATCACATGATTGTTTCCCCAGACGACCAGCGTCCCCATCCTTGGAGGCTTTCTAAAATCACCTCATTAACATCAACTCAGGTGTGGCTAAAAGGGGCCGGTTATGGTTAAGCAAAGATGCTCTTTTCACCTTTATTGTTTTCATCACCAGGAAATTCCAAGGGTTTTAGGAACCCTGTGCCAGAAATGGGGATGAGAACCATACACACACATACACACACACACACATATATATACACACGTATATGTAATTATATATCTATACATAATTATACTTATAAATCACAATATCACAACGTATTATGTTTTTGGGAATACAATTTGTACAAAAGGGCCTTGTAAATTACTGCTTTGTTCGGTGAAAATGATCCTTTAATCATTACTGTCCATGTGGTCATAATATTTGTGAGAGAACAGAATACGCTACTCCGAGATATGCCCCTTTGGCATAGGGAGTCTTGAGGTGAAGGCAATTAAGAAGAAGCAGATGCAGGAAGGCTCTCTGTCCTCTCTCTATTTGCCTAAAAGCAAGACCTAAATTTACAAAGGTCTTTCTATCAAGGATAATAAAGGTTAATCAGTGAGAACTTTAGACCTTTGTGGGCCTGGAGATGGTACCAGAGGAAGCTGCGTAACAAACTTTATTGACTAGTCTCTTTCTATTCTTCATTTCATTTTTATTTGTCTACCCACAGTTTGGTGACCCTCAAGATGCAAAGTCTTTTTCTTCAGCTTGTCACTTCTCTAAAATTGTATAATTCTTTGTTGAGGGTGGTTATATAAGCAGGGAGTTCTAAGCCACTCCTCTGAGAATTGTTTATTCCCTGGTGTCTCCTACATACACTTAAGAGTACATTTCTGTTTGTTTTTCTCTTATTTATCTGTCTTGGGTTACAGGGGTCCTAGCTGAGAACTTAGAAGAATAGAGGGAAAATTTTTTTTCCTTCTCTTATAATATCCATCTAAGAAATCACTCACCCAGGTCAAGATGGAGAACAGGAGATTTCCTTGTACTTCCTCCTCCCAGTCAATAATCGCCCCACCTGAGAGAAAACCATGATTCTGACTTCTACAACCAATTCATTTGCATATTATTGAACTTCATATAAATGGAGTCATTTGTTTGATTTCTTTCACTCAATAATAATGTCTGTGAAGTTATTCCATGTTGTTTGGGTATCAGTAGTTTTAAAAGTTGTTATTGCTATGTAGTATTTAACTATATAAAAATACTATAATTTGTTTGTTTATTCTTCTATTGATTGATGTATTTGGGTTGTTACCAGCCCTTGGCTATGTATGGGAGGAAAAGTAATTTTTTTCTCAACCCTCATAAGTTCTTAGCTGGAACAGACTCCTGTAACCCAAGACAGATTAACAAGAGAAAACCAAGCAGAAATGTGTTAACATGTCTATTTCATATGGACATGGGAGAGATCCAGGGATTAAATAATTCTCAAAGAGGTAGCTTTGAATTCCTGTTTCAATACACCTCCAACAATGAACAGTACATTTTTAGAGAAGTAGTAAGACAGTGGAAAAGGGTTTTAAGTCTCCAGGAGGAACACCTTATGGGAAGGCAAGTCAATGTCATCTTTGGTGATCGAACTTTATCCTTTCTGGTAGTGAGGAGATGAGGGACAGCTTTACCTTTGTAAATTTATGTCTTGCTTTTAGGCAAATAGGGGGAGAGTGGAGAACTTTTCTTGTACCCACTTCTTCTCAATTGCTTTTGGCTCAAAATAATCCTTATGCCAAAGTGGCATATTTTGGGGTGGTGTATACTGCTACCCTCCAATAAAGAGGTCACAATGTATTGAACTGACTATTTCACCGCATGCATTTATTGTGTGTAAGCTACACCTCAACATACAATTTTAAAATAATAGTTTGCAAATATTTAGTATGCTATATGGTTGTTATTTTGATACCACAGAATCCAAAATCCCTCCACACCTGAATTTCATAAGGTTTCATAATATGTGCAGTAACGTTGTTTTTCTACATTCCTGACCAGAAAATCATTTGACTCCTGGTGACACAGATTTGGTGCCACAGACGCTGCTGGACAACCAGGCAGAGGAAGAAAGTGAGGCTGGTGTTGGTTTGGAAAGGTAACCCAAAAGGCCTAGTCCGCAGGGAGACGGCTGGTTCTGTTGAAATGCTGCAGGCATCCTCACAATAAGGAATACATGTGCTCTGATAGGATTACCTGTGAAGCAGGCCTTATCTTCCCACTGGTCTCTATTACGCATACGAAAATCCGTTCCCCTAGGGAAAAAAATACTTCACAGAGCTAAAGTAAATATTTTGGAGAGCAAGTCAAGATTGAGTCAGTCACATGGCGTTGGGCAGTAAGACTCCAAAGATAGAAGTTGCTCCACTCTGGAGCCTCATCTCTGTAACTCTCTTGAAGACAGGAACTCCATTTCTTCAGCTCATATACCACCAAGGAAGGAAGCCATTTGGTGTTAACAGATTAATGAATTTAAGCCCAGTTATTGGTAAATCAGCCTTCTGCACAATGTGTGCAAGTAACAAATATTTGCTCTGTGAATTAGGTGAATTATGTGTAGTATCTCATGGAACTGAACTGAAATGTTATCCAATGCTGGTAGACATCACCAACTGATACAGGATGTACTGGAGCAGAGGTGTTCACATGTGAGATGCTTGGTTTAATTAAGAAACACATGAAGTCAAGCTTCTGTTAGTTATCAGCCATGCTAAAACCAAAACTCTACAGTTAATATACAGTGGCATTGTTGATCTTTGCAGCTACGTATCTATTTGCTGTTTCTTTTTGTCTAGCATACCTTGAGGAAACACAAAGATCAGGGTGGGCTAAACTATGGCATCTTTTATGTCTAGCGTTCTTCATCAGGACCACCCCGCTTGCCTTCATTCCACCCCTTCCCCATTGCAAGCCCTGGTGATCTTCTGCTCTGTTAACTGATTTACATCTGTGGATTAATGGATAATTGGGCCTAAATTTATTAATTCACTAATACTTAAAACATATGCTCGATGGTATATTTAGTTTCTAATCTTTCCCACTGAGGAATTCTGTGCATGTGTGTGTGGAAAGAGAGATTTAAAGATAAAAACATTTATGGACATACATATACTTCAATGAAGAGGCCGTGACATCAACTGACAGATGAGAGGAAGGGCAGAAAGCACCAAGTTTAGGACTCAGAGCCCACCCAACGCTCCATCTTTACCTTGCATGTTCCTTTGGGAGTGTCCCCTTTTCTCTCTGGGCTTGAGGCCCCCCACTGAATCATAAAGGAGATGGCCCAGATCCTCTCCAGGGTTCCCTCTGGCTCTGATGTTCTCCTTTGGGCCAGGGCATCTGTTATCACCAGGCCTCCTTGGCTCACCCTGAAAGAAATGCACAAATGGCACCTTACATGAGAAAATGCCCCAAGCAGTAGGCTTTGCTCTCACCCTGATGCAGCTCTCCCTTGAAGGTCAAAGCCAACTGACCTGGCAAAGATCCCTTCGTACTTCGTCCTATGAAATGTTGGAGGAAGAGGGGTCTGGGTCTCTTTGTCTCAAACTTCTTCCATAAAGGACCAATCCCATCTGCTTGAAGGGTCAAGTAAAGCTGACCAAGAGCAAGGAGAGCATTCAGGACATGAATAATAATTTATCTCAACTCTCAATGTGTAACTCCTGATAGAAGCAGAGGCACACCCCACGTAGCCAGATTCAGGGTCATCAGAGTGGAGGATGTATGACTCAATATGGCCCCCTCCACCCTCCTACTCACTTCTACACATCTGGGACTCTCATCCCCTGCCCACTACCTTGTCTTCTCTTTCTCCTACTTTTCCCAGATCTGTCCCGCCATTATTCCCAAGTTCCTTATCTTGAGTGGGGTTTTAACATTTCCCCACTGCCCCTCCTCTGCAGCAGTGCTGTGCTTTCTCTGAACAAGGCTGAAAACATACCTCAGGACTTAATCTTCCTTCCCTATTCCTTGGCCAAGGCTGGGGTGACTCACATTTATCCTTCCACATGCCCCTCTTACGTGTTTCTTTTCTCCACGGAACCAGTAGTTTTTAGCGAAAGTTGAACTACTCTACGATGCTCTGGGACTTTTCAGGGGATTTTGTAGGGAGGTACAGGGAGGATTCGAAGTTGAGAGTGGCAAGAATATCCAAGAGCCACAAGCAGTTTCCCATCTGGGAAGCTGAAGCAAAATCTTTATTTCATTTCTCCTCAGGGATGAGGAAGATGTTCCTCTGTGTGAAGACGTGGAGCTACAAGACAGAGATCTGTCCCCCAAAGAAAAAATATTTTTGAGAGAATTTCCCAGATTGAAAGAAGATCTAAAAGGGAACATTGACAAGCTCCGTGCCCTTGCAGAGGATACTGACAAAACTCACAAGAAATTCACCAAGGCTAACATAGTGGTCAACTCTACTGCTGTCATCTCTGACGCGATGAGCCTCCTAGGTTTAGCCTTTGCCCCAGTAACAGGAGGAGTAAGCCTACTGCTCTCCATCACTGGTCAAGGTTTGGCAGCAGTAGCTGGGGTCACCAGCATTGTGAGTGGCATGTTGGAAAAATCCGAAAATAAAAAAGCCCAAGCACAGGCTGAAGACATACTGCCCACCCATGACCAAGAGGACAGGGAGGATGAGGCAAACAGGGCAGACTATGTCACAGCTGCTGTAAAGATTACCTCTAAAGGTGTAAACGTCTTGAAGGATGCCAAGAAAAACATCCGTGCATTTCAGAAACTCAGAGCTGACCCACACTTGGCCAGTGCTAGCAAGCGTCTTCTGACCACTGGCCAAGTCTCCTCCCGGAGCAGCAGGCAGATACAAAAGGCCTTTGGGGGAACCACACTGGCGATGACCAAGAGTGCTCGCCTGTGGGGAGGTGTGATGTCCGTCATCTCCCTTGGCGTTGACTGCGTCGCTCTCTCAGAGGGATGGAAGCACCTGAAGGAAGGAGAAAGGACAGAGTTTGCGGAAGAGTTGAGAGCCAAGGCCTCGGAGCTGGAGAGGAAACTCACAGAACTCACCCAGTACTACGAGAGCTTGCAACAGAAAGTAAGGTCAAGGGCCAGAGGGGTAGGGAAGGATTTAACTGGGACCTGTGAAACCAAGTCTTACTGGAAGGGGTTAAGGGAGCATGTGTGGGTGTGGGTGTGGGTGTGTGTGTGTCTGTGTGTATGTAAAGTTTACATGAATGTTTCTTAGGACATGGCATACAATGGCCTTGGAGGTGCAAATAATATCAAGTACATCTTGGAGATGAGGGTGCCTGTCCTGGACAGACCTAGGCATGCCTTCTGTTTATCCCTCAATGCTCCTTAAGGCCTATTGCTGGGAAAAGGGTCTCCCCTGTTTGTTTGTTTGTTTTGAGACAGGGTCTCTGTTGCCCAGGCTGGAGTGCAGTGGCATGATCTCGGCGCACTGCAACCTCTGCCTCCTGAGTGCAAGCAATTCTCCTGCCTCAGCCTCCCAAGTAGCTGGGATTCCAGGCATACACCATCACGCTCAGCTGATTTGGGTATTTTTAGTAGAGACAGGGTTTCACCATTTTGGCCAGGCTGGTCTCGAATTCCTGACCTCAAGTGATCCAGGCACCTTGGCCTCCCGAAGTGCTGGGATTACAGGTATGAGCCACCATGCCCAGCCGGGTCTTCCCAGTTTTAACAAAGAGGTCACTGAGCCACAGGGAGAGTTAGGAACTAAATTGTCTCCTCCTCCAAATTCATATGTTGAAGTCCTAAACCAAAATGTGGCTGTATTTAGGGATGGACCCTTTGGGAGGTAATTAGGGTTGAATGAGGCCATAGGATGAAGTTCTTGCCCAATGGAATTGACCTCCTTATAAGAGGAGGAGGAAATACAAGAGGACCTCCCCACCCCTGCTGCACACCTGCACTGAAGGAAGGCTATTTGTAGACACAGCAAGAAGGCAGCCACCTGCAAGGCAGAAGAAGAGAGCCCTCACCAGGAACTGAATGAATCAGCAGCTCAGTCTGGGACTTCTAGCCTCTGGAACTGTGAAACAATAAATTTCTGTGGTATAAGCAACTCAATCTATAGTAGTTTGTTACTATTTTGTTATATATATATATATTTGTGTTATATATAACACATTTGTGTTATATATAACACAGTTATATATATATATATAACTGAAGATGACTAAGCCAAGGAGGTTATGTCACTCGCCAAGTGTCTTAGTCTGTTTGTGCTGCTTTAACAAAATACCTTAGATGGGATAATTTACAAACAACAGAGATGTATCCAGAAATCCACAGTTCTGGAGGCTGGGAAGTCCAAAATCAAGGTACCAGCAGATTCCATATCTGGTGAAGGTTCACTCTGCTTCACACATGGCATCATCTTGCTGTGTCCTCATATGGCAGAAGGGGCAAACAAGCCCCCCTGGGTCTCTTTTATAAAGGCACTAATTCCATGCCTAAAGGCAGGGCCCTCATGACTCTATCACCTACCAAAAGGCTCCACTTCTTTATACTATTGGAGGGGCAGAAGGAACTTCCTTTCTAGACCTTGAAGGTTTAAGAATTTGAATCTATAAAACAAGCTGACAATAGACAGGTTAACAGGAGAAAAGGCATATACATTTTTTAATGTGGGCCAGATGGCGGAAGCTTAAATAGCACCCCAAGCTACAGGAAGTGGGGCCTCTGATGGGGAGGTAGAGACACAGGCCATGGGAGGGGGTAGGGGCAGGAAGTGTATGGTGAGCAAAGTTTGCCTTATTACACTGATAAAGTGTAATTGCACTGATAAAGGTAGATCACCTGAGGTCAGGACTTTGAGACCAGCCTGGCCAACATGGCAATACCTTGTCTCTACTATAAATACAAAAATTAGCCAAATGTAGTGGCAGGGTACTTGTAATCCCATCTACTCGGGAGGCTGAGGCAGGAAAATCGCTTGAACCCAGGCTGTAAAGGTTGCAGTGAGCTAAGATCATGCCACTGCACTCCAGTCTGGGTGACAGAATGAGACTCCATCTCAAAAAAAAAAAAAGAAAAGAAAAGAAGAAGAAGAATACAGTCATGTATCTCTTGGCGACAGGGATACTGTCAGACCTCTGAGCCCAAACCAAGCCATCGCATCCCCTGTGACTCACACATCCCCTGTGACTTGCAGGTATATACGCCCAGATGGCCTGAAGTAACTGAAGAATCACAAAAGAAGTGCAAATGCCCACCCTTCCTTAACTGATGACACTCCACCACAAAAGAAGTGAAAATGACCGGTCCTTGCCTAAAGCGATGACATTATCTTGTGAAATTCCTTTTCCTGGCTCATCCTGGCTCAAAAACTCCCCCACTGAGCACCTTGTGACCCTCACTCCTGCCCGCTAGAGAACAACCCCCCTTTGACTGTAATTTTCCTTTACCTACCCAAATCCTATAAAATGGCCCCACCCTTATCTCCCTTCGCTGACTCTCTTTTTGGACTCAGCCCACCTGCACCCAAGTGATTAAAAAGCTTTATTGCTCACACAAAGTCTGTTTGGTGGTCTCTGCGCATAGATGCGCATGACAGATATATTCTGAGAAATGCGTCGTTAGGCAACTGCATTGTCGTGTGATTATCACAGAGTGTACTTATCCAAACTTAGATGGCATAGCCTACTACACACCTAGGCTATATGGGAGAGCCTGTTGCTCGCAGGCTACACACCTGTACAGCATGTGACTACTGAGTACTATAGGGAATTGCAGCACAATGGGAAATATTTGTGCATCTAAACATACGTAAACAGAGAAAAAGAAAAGTAAAAATATGGCATAAAAGATAAGAATTGGCTCTGCTGTGTAGGGCACTTACCACAAATGGAGCTTGCGGGGCTGAGAGTTGCTCCGGATGAGTCAGCGAGTGGTGAGTGAATGTGAAGGCCTAGGACATTACTGTATACTGCTGTAGGCTTTATAAACACAGCACACTTAGGGTACACAAAATACATTTTAAAATATCTTCTTCCTTCGGCATATTAGGCAATAGGAATTTCTCAAGTCCACTATAACCTTATCAAACCATGGTTGTATATGCAGTTGACTGAAACATTGTTATTGAACACATAACTCTAGTTGAAAGAATAAGCAAAAAGCCTATCTCAGTGTGGTGTCTTGAGCAACTTTTAATTATTCTCCTGTCCTGCAATTTGAGTTAATCTTCTCTGATCGATGTAGATTCCAGGAAGGGGTGTCCAGGACCATTGTCTTCCTTCTGGAGAAACTTCCCTTAATCAAATAAGAGAACTTCAAAGAAAGCCCCTCCCTGTGCTTTGGAAAGGAAGGGAAGTGGGCAGGATGGGTCAAAGACAGACCTTCGTTCTCTTATTTCTGAGGCCCTTCAGTCTCCTTTATCCAAAGAACTCAGCATGCCAAAGCACCCTATTTTTTTTTTTTTTTTTTTGAGACGGAGTCTTGCTCTGTCGCCCAGGCTGGAGTACAGTGGCCGGATCTCAGCTCACTGCAAGCTCCGCCTCCTGGGTTCACGCCATTCTCCTGCCTCAGCCTCCGGAGTAGCTGGGACTACAGGCGCCCGCCACCTCGCCCGGCTAGTTTTTTGTATTTTTTTAGTAGAG